TATATATATATATAGCATGATGCCTTAACTTGTGTCAAGTTAAAATGTGTTCTTATTAATTAGTGTCTTTAAACATGATCAGAAAACATGGTGGACAGTGTCTATATCCAGGAGGAAAATATATTCCTTTAGTCATTCTTGGTGCATCAGGAACTAAGAATCATACACTCTCAAAAAAAAAAAAAAAGGTACAAAAGCTGGCACTGGGGCGGTAGCTTTTCGGTACTAATATGTACTTTAAGTTACCAATATGGACTGTTTATGTACAAAGGTGTAGCTTTTGAAAAGGTACTGCCCCAGTGACAGCTTTCGTACCTTTATTTCTGAGAGTGCAGATTCAGTGCAGTCAGAGGCTTTTCAGCAAATCTTTCACCCAGACAACTCTTTCTTTAACAAATAATAACACAGTACAATTATTGCATTAATCATGTTGTATAGGAAAAAAAGAACATTTGTGCAACATAACATTGTAAATCCACTATGAGCATGAAAAATCTGTAGGGAAACTTCAGTGAATCATATGACTAAATAACTTGCATGATTAACTGTTTGTTTACAATGTGAGAATCAGGAGTCAAGAAGTTTTATAACAAAAATGTTATAAAAAAAGGCTAAGAGGGTTAGCGTTATTACACGATATGTAACAAAATATCTCTAGTTTTAGCTGTCATAGAACTAGCACAATTCAAATTATTATGTGGCAATTCTTTAATAAATTATACAAATATACAAGTAAAATTGCAAAATATAATTAGACATGTTTAAAGTGATACATAAAATCCCAAAGTGCCCCAAACATTAAAAATATTTAAATGTTCTGTCTTCAAGCATTCAACTTCAATGCTCATGGTTTGCTTTAGGACAAAATTCTGGAAAACAAAATTATGTAAAAAAAAAAAAAAAAAACATCATTCCTTTAACCTTCATTAACAAAGTGTTTTGGTCACAATAATGGAAACAGTCTCTCTCTTCTAAAGCAAATATTTGCATGTTGTATGAAAGTTGTCTCCAAAGACTTAAACAGCCCATGTACTCCAGAGCAAACATTATAATGACATTATAATGTACTTTCAGTTCAGTGACATAACAGATACACTCAGAAAAAAAGGTACACAGGCTGTCACTGGGGCTGTACCCTTTCAAAAGGTACTAATATATACCATATAGGTACTAATATGCACACCTGTTATCTTTAGGCTTTAATATGCACCCGTTAAGGGTAAAAAAGGTACAAAGATGTACCTTTTGAAAGGGTACCGCCCAAGTGACACCTTGTGTACCTTTTTTCCTGAGATGTTTGCAGAAATGGAGGGATGGTTCATCTGAGAGATGAAGGAGGAGAAAAACAGCACCTCTGCTGACAGCAGTCAGCAACAAGCACAAAAGACAGTCTGCCTACCTGGTATCAGAGGATATGAAATGAAGATGATGGTGGAGAGGGAGCCCTCCACTGGTGTTAAGAGAATAGTGCTTCAACGCCTGCAGGAGTCAAGACCAGAGCCTGAAGCAAATCAGAGAGCGAGACGATTCCCCTCACCACATCCTCTGTGTCCACCAGCACTAGACGGTGAACCTGACAAAACAGCGTAAGGACCTTTGGTCAGAGTAGATGACATTTCAACTGATGCAAATGAAAAAAAAAACAGTTCAAACATAGTTCCTGAACACTATAATGGAGAAATAGGATGTGAGCAGTCATGATGCCATATGTAACATGGCGACTACCTCTGCCTCAGCAATACGATCGATGATGGTTTCGAGGGTTTCGTGAGGGTAACACTTCAGCACCCCCTCAATGCAGCACGAGCGGCTTTGAATGGCCTCCTGCATCGTCATGTTCAGGTTGTTGTAGTTTTTCTGCGCAGCCAAATTCTGTTGGAGTACATGTAAATGAAGATGATACCAACTTTAATCTTTGTTAAATACATGTGAAAGTCATCTGGTGTAACAAAAAAAAAAGGTGTCGACGTGGGTCTACGTACAATGACATCAAATCTGGAGTAAAGTGCCACCACTT